CCCCAAAACCCCAAAACCCCAAAACCCCAAAACCCCAAAACCCCAAAACCCCAAAACGATTGTAAGGGTTGAACTCTATATTTATCCAAATTATAAATATAGTAATGAAATCCAGGAAATCAAAAGAAATGTATGTAGCTGATTCTAAACACTATTGAGAGCACAGAGTACATCGTGAAAGGACAGTTTGAGGCACCCTCAACAGCTTAGACCTGACCTATGCAAGTTTCAGAGCTAAAGAATGCTCCTTTAAAGAAAGATCCCACAAAGCCTTACCTATTTCACAAAATAAGGTAGTAAAGAAGGTTATTAAGGAAAAGTCAGAGATTCACCTAAATATGTTCAATACAACTCCTAATGACAAGCAAGACTTTGTCAGAGTGTTAGATGAGGATAGAAATAAGGCTGACAGCGAGTTGGTAAGTTCACCTATGTATACTTAGTAAATGAAGCGATGCAGTCCAGAACTTTTCAATAATATAAATACGTTCGAATCTGTCCGACCTGTTCTTTTAAAAAATTTCAATAATTTAACATTTTGTTGCTATAGGTATCGAAGAAGGTTGAGAGAGTCTTAGCTGAGTATGTGACTCTAAATAGCAGACTATCATCAAGTGAATTGCTCTCGAATAAACTTGTGAGGCTTAGAAGATATGGATTTAACAATCACAAAACTGTTAAGAATTCTATAAAGAAGAAAAACAAGCATGAAATAGAAGCATCACTTTGAACTTCTGCCGACAGTGATGAAGATGAATCAAACTGAGATGTCAATATAGAAACAAGTAATTCTCCAAATAAGTGATACTATAACAACAGATCCCTTCTTAATAAACTAATTAGTACTAAATAACCTGTGTAAATAACCAAGAATTTAGATGTTTTAGAAACAACTGAATACGCTTCTCTCCATACAATTCTAAATTTGAGAAACTGGGGTTTTGGGGTTTTGGGGTTTTGGGGGTTTGGGGTTTTGGGGTTAACTGAATACGCTTCTCTCCATACAATTCTAAATTTGAGAAACTGGGGTTTTGGGGTTTTGGGGTTTTGGGG